AAGAAATGACTCGTGTCGCTAAAGTTTCATCGGAAAGAAATTATATGGGAAATTAACTAACGACCAGAGACGTAACAATATTTTATTGAAGTTTGGTCTGTAATCTGGGTTAAAGATCAGATGATGAGTTTTCATATAAAACATTTTTTAACTTTTCTTGTTTTCCAGTGCAGAGCTATGCTAAAACTTTGTTGCCTCATATTGATGGCACATGTATGGCCACTATTGTAGTTGTGTTAGTTCAGGATGTAGCATTCTATTGGCTTCTTGATACTTAGATATTTGAGACCAGTAATTCTACCAGTTTGTCTAATGTATGTGAATTTCCACAGGAAAAGAAAGTCTTGTAACTAACGTTCTTATGTTTTCTTCACATGGTTGGTGTTTTGCTGTTGTTAGAAAGCTTTCAGAAAATACAACACTGACAATATGATATATGTCTTAATGTTGACAGCATATAAACACAAACTTCACACTGACCAGATGAAAGCCTCAGCATAGAGATTAAAATCCTCATCACAATTTTTTAAAGGGTTTAGGCAGACACATACTATTGAAGATTCAAAGCTTGTACTCTGCCAAAACTGTTCTTAAAGTGAGACAACATTACAGTAATGTTTTCTTCCAGTTTATTAAAGAGTAAAGAAGTTCACACGAGTACATATACAGAGTTAAAAAAGCATTCATGAGATTTCTGCAATTCAATGTAATAGTGCTTTAGTATACAAGGAACTTGATGTAACTGGTCTGCTGTTTTTTAGAAAGACAAAATAAAAAAATTAAACAGCTCTTTACTCACTCAAATGTTACATTAATCAATGGCTGTGTTAACATGTTTTACAGATGATGTTTTTGTACCACATAATTTAAAAGCAATTCCATTGAAATGCTTATTAAATCATATTAGAATAAATATATCTAACTTACATATCAGCATAAACCTGTATTAATTTTAAATCCTAAAGTAAATGGTTATTCTTAATTGTAAACTTAATTAACATAACATAATGTTTTGGGACAACATGGGACCTATTGGTCCATCTCAGCTGTTCCATCCTCTAAATTAAATTAAAACTATTAAAAAAAAATCTTAAAGCCAGCCCTTATCATTCATATACTTATCAAGCTTTTTCTTAAACTCCCGTAAATTTGCTGCTTCTACAACATCCAAAGGCAACCCAATCCAAGGCCAACCACCCTCTTAGAAAAATGAAACTTTCATAGCAGAAGATGACTCCTACCCTGCCAAAATGTATATTTGTGACCCCTAGTCCTTCTATTGTCACTGTTAAATATGAAAAATAATGATGTATCAATACCCTTTACAATCTTAAACACTTCAATCAGATCCCCCCCAACTCTTCTTTTATTTAGAAGGAAACAATTTGAGAGATTTCAACCTCTCCTCATATGACAACTCCTCTATCCCAATCCTAGTAACCTTTCTCTGAACCCTTTCCAACAATTCAATGCATTTCCTAAGGTAAGGAGCCTAAGACTGAACACAATATTCCAAATGAGGCCTAACCAGTGACCTGTACAATGAAATTACATCCTCTCTAAGACTTGTATTCAATATTTCTGTAGATACAACCTAAAAGCCTATTTGCCCTACCTCTAGCAACAGCACACTACTTGGATGGCTTTATAGACTGATCAACTGTTACACTAAGATCTCTTTTCTTCATAACACTGTTAAGGTTATTCCCATCCAAGTTATACTTATAATTCAAATAATGATAACTCACATGCATTCTTGTGCATTTATTATAATTAAAACCCATCTGCCATTTATTTGCCCAACTCACTAAATGATCTAAATCCTTTTGTAAATCAACAGCATCTTCTTCACAGCTGGCAACACCTAAGACCTTGATATCATCTGCAAATTTAAGTAATTTATTGACTATTTCTTTATCTATGTCATTGATGTAAATCAGAAAGAGCAAAGGTCCTAAGACTGAGCCCTGAGGTACCCCACTTGTGACATTAATCCAGTTTGACTGAACTCCATTTGTAACAACCCTCTGCTTTTTTCCATCTAGCCACTTTTTTGTCCAATTTGCTAACTTATCCCCTATACCTATAGAGATAATTTTTTTTTACAAGCATTTCATGTGGCACCTTATCAAATGCTTTCTGAAAATCTAGATACACCAAATCTACACCCTTACCCCCATCTACATAAGCAGT